ATGTACAGAAATAAGTAGCTGGCCTAACAGAATGGTAAAATTGGATTTCGACGACTTATTTATTGCACTCACTAAGAGACCACTTGGGGTGCTGACTTACAGGACAGGGTACCACATAAATTGGCAACTAATACTGATGCTGTTTTTCTCATAACCAGGGCATACAGGTTCGGAACAAATGAATGGAAATGAGGGCAGCTCCTCTTACAATCATACCTAACTACATGCTTGCAGCCCTTTGCAGCTTCTCATTCTCACAACTTTGAGCTCTTCTGAGTTAGAGGTTTTAATTCTTTTTTTTTTTTTTTAAGATTTATTTATTTATTTTATACAAGAACTGGGGTACAGGACAGATGTGCGCGAGGGTGAGAGGATTCACCAGAGACCAAGCGGGGAACAGAACAGGCAGACTGACTGAAACATACTGCTGAGGGGAGCAGTGGGCGAGACAGGAGAGGTCTGCCGTGCCATGTAGGACCCTCGCAGGCCGGGATTGAATCGGCGCTGCAGAGGCTGCGGGCAGCTTCATAGAGCTGCGCTCAACTGCCTGAGCCACCAGGGGAGGCCCAGAGGTTTTAATTCTTAAGGAGCAATACTTTTACAGGGGACACAAAATAGTTCCACTTCACTGGAAGCTGAAATTACCACTGGCCACCTGAGTTCCTCATTCCATTGAAACAACAGGCAGGAAAAGAGGGATTTAAGATATTGGCTGGGCAACTGACACTGATTATCAAAAGTAGATATGATTGCAGTTATACCTTGAGGGCAAAAGGATTATGTGTGGAACCTAGGGAATCATCTGGTATTCCTCTTGGATGGGTCCTGTCCATTAGTCATAGTTAGTGGAATTTTTGCAAGATGAAGGAGCTCTGGAGAGGGACGGTAGTAACGGCTGCAAAGCTATGTGAACATACTTAGTGCCGCTGAACCACACACCTAAAAATGGTTAAGATGGTAAATTTTATATTATATGTATTTTGCACTTCTTTTTAAAGTCAGAGTCTACAGCAACATAATTAAACCACTAAGGTCCCAGGCCGTTTAAGAATGAACATCTAGGGGGCCTCCCTGGTGGCGCAGCAGTTGAGCACTGTGTTGCGAAGCTGCCTGCAGCCTCTGCAGCGCTGGTTCGATCCCTGGCCGCCGGCGAGGGCCCCACATGGCGCGCAGACCTCTCCTGCCGCCTGCTGCTCCCCTCAGCAGTGTACTTTGTCAGTCTGCCTGCTCTGCTCTCCCCTCTGGCTCTGGTGAATTCTTTCACCCTCCAGCGCTCCTGACTGTACCCAGTGCTTGTATATATAAATAAATAAATCTTTAAAAAAAAAGAAAAGAATGAACGTCTAGAATACCACACCAGTAAAAAAGCCCAAGCAAGCAGCAGAGGTGCCGGATGAGGGAGGGCAAGCTGACACAGGCAGGCACTGGGAGGAGCACTCATAAACATGTGCTGTGGCACCCTCACCAGCTGAGGAGGCTGTGGCACATGTGTATATTTTCATGTACATTTTCTTCCTGGCTTGTTTGATGTATACATGTGGGGGCCAGGGGCTGTGAGACATGAGCGTACGTGTGACTGACTAGTGGTGGGTGACTTTACAATTTAGTTTCTAGGTTATAAAATCCCCTGATCAGGTTGTGCCTACTTTAGAAAAGAATAATATCCAAAGAAGGATACCATGATCGATGGAGCTGAATCTCATCCCTTTATGTGTAAGAGGGTGAAAGTCTTCACATAAGAGGAAAGGTTCTTTCATGTGAGGTGGATATGTGTTGTGGTTGCTCTTGTTGAGTGGAAGTTAAACCTCGAGAGGAGAGTAGATAGTGGGTTTTCAGGGGTTGGAAGGTGCTAGTTAGCTGCCTAAGTGCTCTGAACCTGCATTCCTTCCCTCTGCGCTGTTACGTAGTACAGGGGTGCTGGAGCTACCCCTTAAGCTGCACTTCTCACACTGCCTTTCCAACTGGCCCCCAGCTAGGAAATCCAAGAGAAGGGATTGGCAAGAGACTGGAAGGCCAGTATCTCTCGTGTTTAGTTTCCAACATTTCTGGCAGCAGCAACAATGCAGCAGTGACAGTGGCATCTGTGCCAACAGAGGTTCCAGCCTTGGTTTGAAACTGGAGACCCCCTTTTTGGGGCTCTGATGCTTGGCCCCAGATCACTTCATATGGGCAGTACAAGTGGCAGCACGTGGCCCCACTGAGGCTCAGGCTGCAGGCAGAGGCCAGAAGGCAGCAGTGGTTCCCCTACCATGCCACCCCAGAGCATGCAGCCCCTGTTCAGGGATACAGGGAGGAACATGGGGTCCTACTGGGCCAGCTCCAGCACTGTGGCTCCTTCCAGCTGCGGGCAGTACAGAGGCCTTTGGTTTGGTGTCTGGGCATAGAATGGACTGATCAGGTGTGAACTATGAGCTGATTGGTAACTGGTTCAATCAGCTCTAGGATTAAAAATGGTCCAGTCAGATTGGTAGGTGGGGGGCTCTGAAAGAGGATATAGTCAGGAACCAACTTGGGGCTCTCAGACTCTCAGAAGCTCAGACTCTGACTCTTGAAAGGACACTGTTCCTGGCCTCTTAAGAAGCATTCAGCAGCTGACCTCCACGGAAGGAAGGAAGCCAAAAAGCTTCACAGGGGCCGGACTGGCCGCACCTGTGAGCATCTCTTGCGACGGTGAGTTGGATCCTTGCCCGCTGCTTGCCGGCTACTGTGAGCTCCAGGCCCTCGTTGGTGGGACTGCACACGCTTGGATAAGCAGCCTTTTGTTTAGGACTTCTGGACACTGTGGACACTATCTGGGGTGAGAGAGCCGGCCACTTGGGCCTTTAAGACTCTTTGTTTTTCCTGTTTGTTAAGGAAATCCTGTTGCTGCTCCACGAACCTTAGTGGTCATGCAATTGTGCACGTCGATGAGAACCTGAGAACCCACCGAGAGCGGCCTGTTCTTCTACTGGGCACTGTCCTTTTGATGCTATAGCCCTGCTGGGGCCCTCCTAGAGCTCACTGTCAGGTTAAGGCAGCACATTTGCAGCAGATCTAGGTTTATAGCAACGACCTCTCTAGAAGCCCAGAGGCAACGACAGGCCTGTGAGTCCCACTGCAGTAGTGCATTGGTGACTTCTGATCTCCGGGTATCTTCCGTTTTGCTCTTCCCATACCCCTTTCACATTTTGTTCTTCTAATCCTGCCATCCAGGTAACAACCCTCTATTTATTACTGGTAATATTTAGGTGGAAAAAAGCACTCTGATTAAAGAGTCCTTATCTTTAGAGGTATGCACCGGATTATTTTCAGATGAAATATATGACTGTGGAGTTCATTTATAATTGGTACATCTGAAATTTTTCTTAGGTACAATCTAGAATGGTGGGAGTACAGATGAAACAAGATTGGCCCTGACCTAGTAACTGTCAGGTGATAATCATTAGGTGACAGGTACATGCAAGTTCATCTCACCATTTTGAATTCATTTTACCATTGACTCTACTTTTATGTGTTTCTTTCCCCAATACAGTATCAACTATTACTTCTCCCCACTGAAAGCAAGTAACTGCCTCAGCTTGTACTACCTTGAGTGGTTCCTGTATTCCTGACTAGACCCTGGCTGATGAGTGCCTTAGGCCTGAGCTGAAGCCAACACTGAGGAAAACAAAGATGTGTGCATGTGCTTCAGAAAGCAGGTGAGGGAGAAGAGACAGAAGCTACATGCATTCCCAAGAAATAGACTTGGAGGCACAGAGTCTTGACAACATTCTGTGCACCTATATCCAGCCATAAACGAGTTCAGCAGATTTAGCTTAGGGGTTTTCAGATACATGAGGAATAATTTCCTTTTCATTTAATTTAGTTTGAATTGGATTTCTGTAACTTGCAAGCAAAAGAACACTGATTAGTGAGATCCTTAATATAATGATCCCTACTGCTATTCCAGCCCCCTTGAGGAGCTGAGCAACCACCATCATCACTATAATCTCTATCACACCCGCCATCATCTCAATACATATTATCACCTGACTTTCACTATCACCATGTCTAAAGGCACTAACACTCACTGAATACCTACTTGTGCAAAGCTCTGGATCTCATCTTGGTGCTGTACATCAACAGGGAAAAAGACAGAGTCTCTGTCCTCATAGGGCTCATTCTCTATTTGGGAGACTACATATATCTCTCATCCATTTATCTATTAAAAGTATATACTCATATTCATGAGGCATACATCACAATAGAAAGTATACTAAGCTCTAAACTAAGTAGAGGAACACTAAATTCAACAGATATTTAGAGGAAGGAGAATGGCTAACACCTACAGAAAAGACTTCTGGTAGGAAAAAAAGGATCAGAGCTGACCTTTGGAGTATATATAGAATCTACCAAAGAAGAGAATGCAATGGTTTTAAGCATGGTCTCTGGAGTGAGACAGAATTGGTTCAATCCTTGCTCTACCACTTACTAGATTTATAACTCTAGGCAACCTATCTGTGCCTCCATGTTCCCATCTATAAAAGGTGGTAATAATAGGACACCTACTTCATGGGGTTGATGTGAGGATTAAATGAGTCACTTTATGTAATGGGCTGACAACAGTGTCTGGCATAATAAGCCCTATACATTATGCGGTCACTATTCTTAAGAGAGGAAAGGCAGTAGATTCTGGCCAGAAGGAAAGGTACAGAATGGGAATATGAAAAACTTAGCAAGAAGGTTTGTGAAGGGGAATGGTCTGGCAGGAGCAATAGCCACAATTCGGATGACCAACAGCCAATCAGAGGCATGGATTGCCAGGCACCTGGGTCTCCCTTCTGAGGCCTCCCCCATCCTTTGGGGACCTGCTCCCATGACTGTCTTTCCTGGAAGCTTTGGCAGGTGCTTTCTCTGTTTTCAGCACTCACAGTCTGTCTGACAGCATTTCCAAGCTGCTCTGGACTATGCCTTAGATACTTGTACCCAGACAAAGGCTTATGAGGGAATACAAGGTACAGACTCTGGGATGTCAAACTTACTGCTCTGTGACAGCCAAACTGGGGGGCAAGGAGGTGAGCCCATTGCCTGTAAGCAGCAGGACACGGAGGTGTGGCAAAATCCCCAGGTCACAGATGGCCTCTCCAGTCAGGCTGTTGAAGGAAAGGTCCAGGAACTATGGTGCAAAGATAAAAGATGGGAACAGAGGTACTGCGCGTGACAATGATGCTTGCGTACGCATGGAGCTAGCTGCTTTTGTTTTTTTTTACCTTCTTGGGAGCCCCATCACCCACAGAGTGAAGCCCTCCTGACTCTCTGAGTTAACATTCAAGGCCTATTACAGTTGGTTCCCAGTCTATTTGCCCTTCTTCATTCCACTGCAAACTTCTGTGTATCTCGTGGTGCTGATCTAGTGGCTTCTCCCTGCTCCTTACCCGCCACACCCAGAGTTCTCTCCTTTCATTCAATCTGGAATGCCATCTCTCCAGTATCCAAACCCCAGCCCCAAAGGCCAGCTCAAAAGCTGCCTCCTTAGATTTCACATAAAGGGGTGCTCCCCCCTGATAGGGAAAAGAGAGAATCCTTCAAGGAGGAAGACTTGGAAAGCTGGCTTGGATAAGCCCATGTAAAGGTGGGAAAATATTTTCCCTTGTACCCACATGTGGGCAGTCCACAGAGCTATAGTGTCTAGCTCTTTAAGGTCTCTCATACTTGTTCAAGTCAATTCATTCTTCAAACAGCAGCCTAGACCTAATATCCATAGGAAAGGGTACAAACTCCTTAGCAAGACTTCCAATGCTCTCCATGGTCTCTCTTCTGCTACCTCTCCAATAACAGATGATATCACCTATTTTACCATATCTCAATCTTCATTCCAATCATACTGAGCTGTTTCATCAGTGTTCTTGCACAAGAGGTAGCAAACTAAGGCCTGCAAGCCAAATCAACCTGCTGTCTATTTAGTATGGCCTATGAACTGAAAATGATTTTCAGATCTTTGGATGGTTGAGAGAAAGTCAAAAGAATAACATGTGGAAAATTTGTGAAATTCAAATTTCAGCATCACAAAGTTTTATTGGGACACAACCATGCTCATCTGTCTATATATTATCTCAGGCTGCTTTCTTCTGACCACAGCAGAGTGGGCTAGTGATGACAGGAGGGTTAGTTATGTCCACATGCACTACAAGCACTAAAATATTTAATACCTGGTCCCTTTAGGAAAAGTTTACTGACCCTTGTTCAAACTGCTTTCACTATTTAGAGTGCAAATCTGCTTTCCATAGAATTAAGGGTAGCTCAAAGAAAAGAATAAACTTAGAACCCCAGATCACAGAATTTCAAAGTTGGCTCAGAATGTACAGAGGGGGAAACTTAAGTTGTACAGAGGAGTATGCCAAAGTAGTGGGCAGAACCAATACTAAAGACAAGGCCTCCTGATGCTCAGAGAGGGCTCCAGGGCACCCTTTTCCAGATCTGTATGCAGAGAATCAAATCATGGCAGTTAAGTTTTTCTAAACTCCTGAAAAAGTCTACTCTGAGGCAGCCTTTCTGGAAAACAAGGACAGAAGGTTCTGAACTTGGCTACTGCATCTGCTGAGTCACATCAAGTTTTATTACACATCAAAATATTATTACTGTGAGCTGCAAATTCAGGATACTTGACAGGTTTATCTTTTTTCTTAGTGATCCCTTGCAAATCATAGAGAGATGCAAACAAAATGAAGGGCCAGATTTCCTCTTGCATTTATATTCTGCATCTTGACTTTGGTCTGCTCTCTTATGTAAATAAATGCCTTTGGATGAGATTGGGTCTGCTGGGTAGTTTTTATCTCAGATGCTATCAAACTATGAAGTAGCACCTCCAAAAAGTTAATCATGATCAACCAGTACATCCAAGCTAGGCAGGGGAAGAGCCTAGAGTCAGGGCCCTTCCCCATGGTCACTGATACTTGATGTAGGGTCTTGAAAGGGGAGGGGTAAGGTAGACAAGGCACAATGCACGGCACACAGGAATCAATAATTGCTTTTAAAAAAAAATTGAGTAAGAAATTAAATAATAAGTGGAGTTCATTTCTCTGTAGGTCAGAGAAATCATTCCCCCTCTGTCTCTAGAGCATCTAGAACTGGTTTCCCACTGTTTATACAAAAATCTCACCAAAAAGTGGATTTTTTCCCCACATATGACAGTATTATATCAGTTGTTGTAAGTTTCTCTCTCTTTTGTTGGCCTTTCAATAGCTTTGGTGCTCAGATGTGTCTGAGACCCTCCTGTCCCAGATCATAGTAAACCCCTGCTATCTTTGATATGACTTGAAACCATGGAGAGCAAGTACTACCATACTCAGTATAGCATGCTTTAAGAAGGCAAGGACATACATTCTAGGATTGCTGTCCCAAGCAGTTAAAACTTTTAAATACTTTGGCATTTAAAGGTCATAAACTCTGAAAAGTTCATGCTTATGGAAGGTCTCTCTCTCTCTCTCTCTGGCAAGACCAGGGAAAGTGAGGCTTTTGTGAAGAATGACTGACCCTAGATGTTTGCAGATTAAATAATTTAAGTTACCAACTCTTTGGTGTTAACCCCAAGGCTCAAGACATGCAGACATTTTGCTGGGGTTTAATTGTGAAACACTTCTCCCATAAGGCCAGTGTGTGGGGAAGAGCCCATTATGCAGGGAGTGAGCCTGACTAGAAGCCCAGACCTATACCTCACTCCAGTTCTCATCCCTCCTCTCTCACATATGCACTGACGTGTCTCTCAAGCTTTGTTCCTTTGTGAAAATGTGGCCCTCACTTATAATGTGGACCACAGAGAAACAAAACAAAGGGTCGAATAAAGCCAAACCAATTTAAAAACACAGAGGTGGAGTGGGGGAAGAGAATAACGCAGGGAGGGGGCACATGGACTGCGGTGGAGGACTCTGGGTGTTTTGGAGGTGGGTGTGGTAGTACGCAAACAACACCTGGAGAGGGAGATCCTAAATCACACATGTTTTAAGCCAGTGTTAGTGACCTTAATAAAAAGAGAAAGAATAAGTGCCCCAAAGTTTCCATGAAAGTTGAAGAGGTGATTAACTTGAAGTATGAGGAGTTATTCATACAGGTGAACAGAAATGCCTACATATGGGGAATTTATTTAGGAGAAAGCTAAGAATAAAAAACGAGATTTTCAGTTCTTTCAAATCTAGGGTTTGGAGAACAGCTGAGGATGGACATATGTCAAGAGTCTGCTCCAGAACCAATAACTGACAGGAGCACTCATATTTCATACTCATCTCCAAGCCTAGGGACTAGCCTGTAGCCTGCCTCCTCCCAGCCTGCTGGAACCAGTTTGATTCACTCAGACCAGGGTGGGCCTCTGGAATCAGTCCACAGTGCCTCTAGCTCAGCAGGTCTACTCCACCACATCTAGCACTAACATGCATGACTTCTCAACCCTCAATGGATCCAGGTCTCCCCTCAAAGTCTCTTTCCTATAATACTCTGTGAAAACTCACTTTTCTGAATAGATGCTTTTGGACACGACCTTTAGCATTTATTTTCCAGGGCCATCACATAGCCCTAGATACGCTATATTACCATTTATGTGCCACTGTGGCCACCACCACTGCCAACACCACCACACCAGTTCCACCACTTTCCTCGGAGGCTAGTCCTGAAGCAAGGGTCTGGCTGCTTCTAGCAAGTTATAATCAGTAGAGTCAGAAGGAGAAAGACACACACTGGGTGACTTCATTCACATGTGCGACATAAAGAAACAAAGCAAAGGAGCAGACAAAAACCAAAACAAACCCTGAGAGTAAGAACTGAGGTTCCCAGAAGGGGATGGTGGGGTGAGCAAAGTGGGGCCCAGGGGCCCAGTAGACTATGTAAAGGATTGTTGGGGCCCTGGTATGGGAGTGGTGTGATTACATAGATTTGCAGAGGTGAGACCCTATACCCCTGAAGTATATACAGTGTTCTAAATCAGCATTATCTCAGTAAATATAATTTCAAAAATAGAAGTGCATTTATCTTGGGGCTGAGACTCCCCCAGGATAAGCCAACACAGCCCAGAGATGTGAGCGTGCAGACACATGTGGACAAAGCAGGAGATGCCAGGGATCTCCATCAATGCAACTTTAAGGGCTTAACATGGACCAAAGCTCAGTAGCCCCCCCCCACCCCCAACTAGGTCTCGTCCATTTTTTCCTCATTCGCCCACCCTCCCTCCAAACATTACTGAGGCCCAGTGTGGCTCCATGCTGCTTCCTGGGGGCACAGAGGCAGCTGAGACTCTGACCCTGCCCTCTGCGGTCCATTGTGCAGTGGGGAGGATGGAGGCCAGGCTTAGATGAATATGGAGATGGATATAGGACTAGCTAATGGAATGAAGGGTGCGTGAACGTGCTGAGGCGGCTTCCAAGGATGCCCCCCCCCACCTTATAGGGCACAGGTGGACACCAAGCACTCCCTACCTCCAACTTACTTCCAAGTACTTAAAGTCTCCATATTTCACGTAGACTGTTTTGATGCCATTAAATGCGAGTTCCAGTTCCTTTAAGGTTGGAAAAGTGTGAAATGCTTCTATAGGGGGAGGAAAAAGAGAATCTGTAGCTTGTGAAGGAATTAAAGATATTAACAATGGTTATTTACCGGATAACTGGGTTCCCACTGGATTAGGCCAGGCACTGTGGGAAGTGCTTTACATACATGACCTCTAAATCTCTAACAACCCTGAAAAATGGGGATTATACATCTGAGAAAACTGACACTCAGCCAGGCTAAGTGATTTCCTGGAAATGAAATTGCTGTTTGGTGGAAGAACCAAAAATGGAATCTAAGCTTATTCAAGTCATGGTCCATTGAAAAAGTTATTATTTCTGATAACAAAAGTAAAACATGCCCACCAAAAAGTAAAATACACAGAACATTTCCTTTAACTGAATCAATAAAAATAACTTAAAAGTTCCATGTAAAAAAAAAAAAAAGGTTCCATGTATAACACTCCAGACATATTTGTATGTGTATACTGAACACACACACACACACACACACACACACACACTTCTTTTTGCAAGAATGGAATCATACCATACACATTGTGATTTTCTTCCCTTAACAATATGACTTCAATATTGTTCCATATCGAAACACAGATCTGCATTACATCTGAGTTATGTTCGATAGACCTCCCTAGTTCACTTCACCATTCTCCTACTGATCGCTATTAGATGATCTGGACAAAATCTCAGAACACTTTTTGGCATGAGACCTGGACCTTGGGCTAACTTTCTAGCCCATTTTCTTTGGTAACCTGAAATAAACAGTATGATAACTGTGTTATTAGGCAATATAGCTTGTGTAAAGCCCCTGGTTGCTAAATTACATCTCGACTAGGAGATACTATAAATGACCCCCACACATCTGAAGGTGGGGACCAAAACTTTGGGTTTGTCTCTATGTGGTGGCTCCTATAACTGGAGAAGGTCTCCGCAGGAATTTTAGGAGCTATGTGTATGGCGTGATTCAGGGGATGTTTGTTTTGCTCTTGTGGAAAAGAAATTTCTAAGCCAGAGTGGCTCCTGCATCCATCCACCCAATAACAGTGTCATTGTCTTGACACCTCAGGACCCAGAGAGTAACTCCTGGAGACCAGTGGGCTGTCCTCATGAGGACTCCGAGTGGAATTACTTAGTTTTCTAAATAAACTTGGTGTCAAGTGTGGCCTTCGGTGGTCTTGTGAGTCAGAATGTTCTGCAGCGCCTAATAAAGAGACTGTTGGTAGGTATTTCAGGTATTCCTAGTGAACATCCCATAGGAGTGTGTTTCTGTTGAATCAGTTCCTGGAAGTGGAACTACTAGATTAAAGATAAAGCCTATTATAAGAGACATTGCCAAATTGCCTTCCAAAGATGGCGCACCAGCTTAGCACACTTGTGCCAACAGGATACGAGTCCAGTGCTGGCTGTCATCAGGACTTCTCATTTTTGCCAACATGTATTAGGCAGGAAACAGTACCTTGATACTGTTTCAATTAGTGAGATTGAGCATCTTTTCATATGTCTGTTTGCCTTTATATTTTAAACCTGACAGATCACACTGTTTCCTGGAGGGCAGGGACTTTTCCCCATGCTTCTTTAAAAATACCTCTCAAACGCAATGCATTCAAAACGGAATTATTCTATTTCCCCCAAACCTGCCCCCCTTCTCCTGCTCTCCAGGTGAATCCCCGTGGTTTCTCCTCCCCACATCCCCATTAGTGACCAAGTCCTGTTATTTCTACCACTTCCAGCATCTCTCTCAATCCCTTCACCCCCATTTCCACAATCCAGTTCAAGTCTCCTCTCCATTTCCCTGAAAAAATGAAACCTTCTCATCTCCCAGGTTTCCTGGCTTCCATCTTTTTGTTTATAATCTACTCTCTCACAGTCAACACTGAGTCTTTCTATTTAAAAACCTTCCAAGGGTCTCTTTTGCTTGCAGCATTAAATCCAAATCACACAGTGCCCAGGATCATCAAGTTCCTGCCAATCTTTCTAGTCTGGTCTGTGAGTTAACAATGACCCTGTATCCCTTGCAAGCACACAAAGCCTCTTCAGAGTCCCTGATCAGGCACCGCTATCCCACATCGGGTCGCTTGACCTGAATTGCCTTTTTACCTTCTAATTCCCGAGTCACTCCCATTTAATTTTTAAGCCTCAGCTAGGTTTTCCTCTTTGCAGAAATTTCTCCTGACACTCTGGCCCAAGGTTAAAGTCCTGTTTATATGCTTGCATAGCATTTTCTGATTTCTTCTCTCATTACACTCACTGTATCCCACTACAGCCATCTGTCTAAGCCCATCTTTCACCAAATAGCTCACCTAGCAGGAGCTGGATCCCTGTGCTTTTAAGTCAAACCTTCCTAGTCCAGATATCCAGCAGGGGGCGCTGTGAACTTGTTGAATAAATCAGGCTTTATGCACTTGAGCTCTTAATGACATAAAAACATTTTTATACACCTATCTTATCTGAGTCTGCAAGGGAGCCTGTCCTGGGAAAAGAAAAAGGAAAGGGATAATCTCCATTTACAGGTATAGAAGATACAGACTCTAGGAGATAGAGATATAGAAGCAACAGATCACAGAGAAATGTTCTAAGTAGGTTAGTGCCAGTTCTGGGTTGGAATCCAGGCCACTGCACTCCCAAAAAGAGATGCATGACCAGTCATGGATGGACTGACAGACACATTCTAACATGAGTGACCTGCTGTGCCAGCAAAGAGGCATAAGGCAGTTTTTGGGAAGAAAAAGCTTACCTAGAGGCAGCAGGTTTTCTGAGGCATTGATGTAAATCACAGAATGAAAGTGTTTGAAGTCCTTTTCCTTAGCCTGTGGGAAAGCATTTGGAAAGAACATAAAATAAGTTCTCTGCTGAGACCGTTGCAAAGCTCCAGAACTGCTGTCAGAGGACAAAGACCTCAGGGGGAAAGATACATCCTTAGCACAAGAAGCCATGAACCCTGTTAATTCTTCCAATCCATGCACATGGGCTACCTTTCCATTTCTTTATGTCTTATTTCTTTCTTTCAACAATGTCTTTTATTTTTTAAAGATTTATTTATTTATGCATACAAGAACTGGGGTACAGGCCAGAAGTGTGGGGGTTTGGTGAGAGGGTTCACCAGAGACAGAGTGGGGAACAGAACAGGCAGATTGACTGAAATGCTGAGGGGAGCAGCGGGTGAGTAAGGAGAGGTCTGCTGCACCATGTGGGTCGCTCCCTGGCCGGGGATTGAACTCAAAGTGCTGCAGTGGCTGCAGACAGCTTCATAGGTTGCGTCTTAAGGACTTGTGCCACAAGGGAGGCCCTCTTTCAATGATGTCTTTTGTTGTATAGCCCTTTCACCTCCTTTGTTAAATTAATTCCTATGTAATTAATTCATGTTTATGTGATTATAAATGGGATTATTTTCTTGATTTCTTTCTCTACCAGTTTGCTGTTTGCATATAGGAATACAAGAGACTTTTGCATATTGATTTTGTAGCCTGCCACTTCACTGTACTGGGTTATTGTACAGTAGCTTTTTGGTGGAGTCTTTAAGATATTCTATTTATATTTTCATGCCATCTGCAGATAGTGATAGTCATACTTCTTTCCTAATTAGGATTCCTTTATTTCTTTCTCTTAGCTAACTGTTCTAGCTAGAACAGTTGAATCATAGTGATGAGAATGAGCATACCTGTCTTATACCCTATCTTCGAGGAAAAGCTTTGTTTTCTTTTTCCTTTTTTGTAATATTCTTGTCTGCTTTTGGTATCAGGACAATGTAAGCCTCATAAAATGTATTTGAGAGCATTCCCATGACTTCGATATTTTGGAAGAGTTTGGGAGGGATAGGTATCGAAGGCTTGGTAGAACCCATTACCAAAACCATCTGGTCCTGGACTTTTGGTTTTGGGAGACTTGATTACTGTCTCAATTTCTTTGCTTATAACTAATCTGTGCAGGTTTTTCTATTTATTCCTGATTCAGTCTTGGAAGGTGATAGGATTCTAAGAATTTGTCCTTTTCTTTTAGATTATCCAATTTGTTGGCAATAAGATGTTCATAACAGTCTCTTATGATCCTCTGTATTTCTGTGTTATCTGTTGTAACTTCCCCTCTTTAATTTCTTAACTGTCAAAAGACAGTCCAAAACATCAATTAAACCAAAGACTATTATTTGAAAAAAACAAACAAAATAGACAAACCTCTAGTTAGGCTCACTAAGAAAAAAACGGCAGGAAATTCAAGTAAATAGAATCAAAAATGAAGAAGTTACTACAGACACATTAGAAATACAGAGAATCATAAGAGATGACTGTGAATGTCTGGCAGCAAGTTAGAAAAGAAAGAAATGTGACCCATTATATGAGTCAGAGCATCTATAAGTTAACATCAAACCAGTTTAGGGAGAACCATTCCACTCCTGGCATTGAAGGCTGAGAGAAATATCTCCTATAGGCTCTTTCAATGGGAACTCAGTGTCACACATACCCTAGCAATATTCTTTGGCAAATTCAAATCCAGTTCCATCAGGCTACTTCCTTTAATTTGCCTCACAAGAAACAATGACAACACCAAATTTACAACAGAAGTTTGTCCTTGAATATTGTTTCCACCCAGTCATTGGAACCTTGTCTGATCCTCCCTGCAACATACCCCTTCACAACCAGATTTTCATTCCCAAGGGCTCTGGAGGTGCAACTAACAAGCAACCAGGTGCTCACTTGGGTTTGGCTCATCCCCACACATCCGCACTGGCCGTACCTTGCAGAACTTTAGGCCGCTCACATTGATGTTGCATAATTCTGATGGCTTCTTCACACAGTGGTGCTTTAGCTGAAACACAGTGCAGAGAGAGTCAGCTCCCAAGACCCCAACACAGTCCATCTAATTGACCAAGACAACAAATGACTCCCCATTTTGGCAGGTGGCCTGGTGGAATGAAAAGAACACAGGCATTGCTCTGAGCATAGAGTTATTCAGAACCAAGCTGTTGTCTCAATTCTTCAACTCTCAGTCCCCATTTTTTTTTTAAAGATTTATTTATTTATTTATACAAGCACTGGGTACAGTCAGAAGTGCGGGAGGGCGAGAGAATTCACCAGAGTGGGGAACAGAACAGGCAGACTGACGAAATACACTGCTGAGGGGAGCAGCAGGTGCGGCAGGAGAGGTCTGAGGACCATGTGGGACCCTCACGGTGGTGGGGATCAAACCGGCACTGCAGAGGCTATGGGCAGCTTTGCAGCCCAGCGCTCAACTGCTGTGCCACCAGGGAGGCCCTCAGTCCCCATTCTTAAGACAAGGGTAGTGACACTGACTTAGAGGGTTCTCTGAGCAATCCTTCCTCTCAGTTCTTTCTCTCTCTTTTCTAGGCCCCACTTCCTTTACTTGAGTGAAAAAAAACAAAACAATCTGATTTTCTGGGACTTTCTCTTTTATTCTCTTCTGTTTTTATTTGGTGTTCTCTCATTGGGCAATCTCATACCTTTGTCATAACTTATTTGCTTGTTCATTTATTCATTCACCAAATATTTACCCAGCACATTTGGGGCCGTATATTATGCTAAATATATCAATAAAGCTTTCTTCTACTCATGGCTAAACCTTTCAACCTAAGTATTATTATCTCCCATTTTAAATGATGGAAGTAAGGGTAAGAGGTAAAGTGCCTTGCCTGAGGTCCCCCAGGTAACAGGTGACAGAGCTATTATTTGATTTCAAATTCATAATCACTAAACTCTGCCTACCATACATTGCCCCTCATAATTAAAATGTTGGAAGAAAAAAATCACCTTGGAGCTTCTATTTCTGTTTAATCAAACCCTTTCACTGCTAACCATTTATTTACGGTACCTGTTATGATTAGGCATTGGGAAGACAATGAAGGAAAACTAGAAACGTGCCATGCTTTCAAAGAGCTTACAACTGCATGGGAAGTGAAGTAGCATGCAAGTATTTAGAAATGTGGTATTTAAAGGAGAAATCCAAAATACCATGGGAGATGGTAACAGGAGGTCCTAAACCTAAGTCTGGAAGTGAAGAAATACTTAAGGAAGAAAATATTTCAGCTCAGACCTAAGCACTAAGGAGGAGTTTGTCCTATGAAAGTAGGTGACAGAGGTTGCGAAAGTTATCAAGGGGTTAAAATGCAAGGTGTTTTTGAGAGGATGGAAAACAAAATAAGGCTAGGAAAGCAGTCAACAGATCATCTGGGTCCATGCTGGTTCTGTAAAAGGGTGTGACTTTTATCCCACAGTCAATAGAAAGCTGCCAGATGTTTTTTGGCATGGGGCAGATACCAATTTTATAAAAACTGTTGTATCTGATACACACGGAAAGGGTAAGACAGGAGAGGGAAAGATGAGACCAACCCTCAAACACTGTTAATTACCTTTCCTAGAGTCACCTCTCTACTTGGTCTACTTCTTTCTTGTTAAAGAACCCCGATGCTATTCAGACTTTTTTGTGTGGATAAAGCCCCACTCAAAGGGATAAGCCCCAGCTTATAGTTAAGCCACAGCTCCAAGGGATAAATTTTGACTTACCTAAGTCAATCATGGAAGTTGAGCTTCTAACTAAAGACTTGGGATATGTGATCTAGGTCTGACTAATGACGCTGGCTATGGGGGGGCAGTTCTGGGAAGCTTTCTTTTATTATTAACAATAGACGTAAGACAGTGCCAATTCCTTTTCCACCTTTACACATGACAACTGGACCTGCTGCAGCCATCTGGGGATCATCAATCCAAGAAGATAAGTTAACATGCCGAAGATGGAAGACCAAGAAGATGAGCGAACCTGAGTCTTAGATGTCAATTAGCCAGTAAATTAACCTACTCTGGAATAAAATGAATCTGGCTTCTTTAATGAGAAGTGAGAGCATCCTAGCTGGTTCTAACTAGTTAGGAAGTTACTGAATTAGTCTTAAAAAACCATGGTGGCAGCTCAGATTGGGGTAGTGGCAATGAAGATGAGAGGACAGATTTGACAACTGTTTTATAAAAGTTCATGGGCTAGTGGGGGCTGGGGGTGGCAAGCGGAAAGCAAGTGTCAAAAGTAACCCCAGGTTACTGGCTTGGTGAGTGAGTAAACAGCAGTGCTATCAGAGAGAGAGCAAACACTAGAAAAGAGAGATGTTTGGTAACTAGGAGTAAGTGGATTGGTCAATAGAAGTAGCAGTGAAATATTCAAGGGGAACTATCCAATATGTGGGGAGGTAACCCATCACTCTGAAAAACATCTTGTTGCTTTTCCCATCCAAAGTGACAACCTGGGTAATAGCCATCTTGAATCTGGGAACTGTTGATGGAAGCAAAGGGGAAAAGAAGATTACTATGGAAAGTGTGTCTGCTGCTCCTCAGTACTGCTGGTTCAGTCTTACTCATGCTCAGTGAGAAGTGGACATGTCTTCCTCATGCTCAGTGAGAAGTGATGAAAGAAATTCCACAGGACTCTGAAAAAAGCTTACACTACCCATTTGAGGTTGAGACACAACCAACTACCACTTTTAAGTTCTATTTCAACATCTGATCTGTGCAGAAATGCACCTCCTTGGGAGCTAAAGCAAAGCATGGGTACAAAGTAGGCTGCCAGAGAGTTCTAAGGAAACTGTGAGAACTGGACTGCACATTAGTATTGGTTTACAAAATGTTTATTTCTTTGCAAAGTCTCTGGGGCTTGTGCCGAGATGTGAAATCACCTGGCTGATCTCCAGTTCAGCTACTCCAGGGCTCTTTGTAAAGCCTGCCCCAGGGACTGGGACACTTCCCCGAGCCTTCAGTCACACACTAAAGCCAAAGGACAAAGGTTGTGGAATGCAAGACTCTCCCCAGCGTTCCCACTCTTGGAGAGATCTCCCTACAGCTGAGCAGGAAACTCCACATCCCACCAGGCACTGGAACGAAGTTCCCAGTGTATTGTTCTTGCTCGCCTGCTCCTTTGTCTCTCCATCTCAGTTGACAGTTTCACCTGAATAATGTAAGACATAGGCTTTGGAGTCAGGAGACCACAGTTCCAATCTTCAGTAGTTCTAATCTGAAGTAGAACAGAATCCTAATTACTAGCAGTGGGACTTTGGCCAAGGCAAATTATACCTCAGGGCCTCAGTTTCCCCATCTGCACAATGTCAACAATGTAATAGGGATGATAATAACCTATCACACAAGATGGATGTACAGAAAAGTTTTACAGGGCCTTCCCAATGGCATAGCGGTTGAGTGCTGGGCTGCAAAGCTGCCCGCAGCCTCTGCAGAACCAGTTCGATCCCCTGCCACCGGTGAGGGTCCCACATGGTGCACAGACCTCTCCTGCCGTGCCCGTTGCTCCCCTCAGCAGTGTATTTCGTCAGTGTGCCTGTTCTGTTCCCCGCTCTGGCTCTGGTGAATTGTCTCACCCTCCCGAGCTTCTGACTGTACCCAGAGCTTGTATAAATAAATAAATAAATCTTTTAAAAAAAAAGGTTTACGTGTAAAGAAAGCTTTGGCTTCCTTCATCATCCTAGCTGTACTCAATTTGCCAACAAAGAGTTGGGGTGGGTTGGGGGCGGGTGTACCAGAGCAGATCAGGGCAATACCTTGCCCCCCAGGCGTGGATGCATTTACTCTCACCAGAAAAGCCTGGTCTAGGACGTGTTCACGAAGGTCCGCCTGGCCCTCCCGTTGAGAGCCTTTCTTTTTCGAGGTGTCCAAAGAAGTCTTCTCACTTTCCTGACTTTCAGCTTGTGCCTCAGCCACAGCCTTGGGTTTCTTCTTGAGGTTACATTTCCGAGCTACTACCCAGTGTCCTCGGCCTGTGGATAGGGTCAGAACAATGAGAAGCAACAAACTCCTCCAAAGTCACAATTATTGCATCTATAATACTTAACCTCCAAAAAGCTCCTCATGACCTAATAGGCACCAGCTACTGTGCCGCTGGTGGAGGTAGGGTCCCTACAACTATCTCATTACTAGATCCCCAAACTCAGTGAAGAACATGTTTCTGTCTCCACCTGACAGATTAAAAGGCTAAGACTCAAAAAGGTGGGATGACTTGTCTGATACCTTCCTCCACACTTTGTCTCCAAATTTAAGGTTTTTTTCAAGATCCCACATCAAGTGTTTCCTGTTCTGCAAAGCCTCCCCTGACTCCCTTTCGCCAAGTTTACCATTCTTTTCTGTGTCAGCTATTTATTTCTCCATTGGGTAAAGCCCAATGTGTGATGTAACTCAACAGGGTTCATCTTCTCAGACCTTAGCCTGAATTCCATCATTTTAGGGGAAAGGTTGTATCAGGAGCTAAGCATAAGAAAATGACAGTTGGGGGCCTCGCTGGTGGCGCAGCGGTTGAACACTGGGTTGCGAAGCTGCCGGCAGCCTCTGTGGAGCCGGTTCGATCCCCGGCTGCTCCCCGGCCACCAGAGGAGGGTCCCACATGGCGCGCAGACCTCTCCTGCCGCCCGCTGCTCCCCTCAGCAGTGTACTTTGGTCCTTCTGCCTGCTCTGCTCCCCGCTCTGGCTCTGGTGAATTCTCTCACCCTCCCGCGCTTCTGACTGTACCCAGTGCATGTATAAACAAAACAAACAAATAAATAAATAAATAAAACATGCCTCTAAAAAAAAAAAAAAAAAGAAAATGACAGTTGGCATTAAAAAGAATAATAATAAAATATGTTCGCTGGAGAAAGAATCAGGAAATGTGTGTAAGCCAAAAGATCAATACAAGGCTTACCAGTAAGCCCACCTAACAAAAATGAAGAATCTAGAATCTGTTTTCTCTAGAATCTGTTTTCTCCTGTACTGACATTTTATATTCTAGAATCTGTTTTCTCCTGTACTGACAGTTAATTTACTGCAAGTCACTCAATGAAACTGTAATGATCTTACTTGTTCACTTAATTATCTCTGTTACCTGTCCACAACCAGCCATTCAGACCTTTTCTGAGTATCTGATATGTGCCTGGTGTTGCGGTTATGGGAATGAGTGAGACAGAAGCTCTGAGTCATAGGAGCTCAAAAATATAAGAGGTGTTGTGGAGGCCCACCGGGGAGAGCTGTTAGCCTAGAGCTTGAGCTAGATCTAGTAAGTCGAAAGTTCACTAGGTGGAGATGGGAAAACCAAGCAGGCTGGGCAGGCAGAAGAGCACAGAGGTCTAAAAGATTGGCACCACACAGAACAGCAGACTATGGGAACCAGCTCAACGTCTCCTGCCTGCATAGCCCACTACATGAGTTTGCCTGGCTCACCTCACCACTGCTGCCAATCCTGCCTCTTAGATCCAGCTCTTGCTGTGTCTGACATGAACATTTCCCATTCCCACTCTGTCCTAACACTGCAGGCTCCCACCTTCTGGGGCACAGACTTTGGTTCTTTGTCCCATCCTATAGCCCTGATTCCTAGAGACTCCAATCTGAGTAGCTGCCGAACTCCCAACAAGGAAGGCAGAGGATGTCAGGAGATGAATGTGAGGGGAAAAAAGAGATGAGGTTTGGGACTCAGGAGAGTCAGATCAGTCAGATCATAAACGATCTTGAGGACTAGAATAGGAGCTCAGGTTTTAATTGGGGTAGACTTTTAGCAAGAAGCGTATTCATGGGAAGGGTTTTTTTGGGTCCATCTGTAATTTTTCATTTTGAGGTAATTTTAGACTTCCAGAAAAGTTGTAAAAATAGTAGCATTCCAGTGCCACCTTCATCCAGTTTCCATGTTAACATCTTGTAATGTTATAATTACAATGATTGAAACCAAGAAATTAAGACTGTACAGTACTAGTTACTGATCTACAGCTCTTTGAGTTTTGCCTGTTTTTCTCACTAATGTTCTCTTTCAGTTCCAGGATTCAATCAAGAAGCCACCTACCTTCCTCTGGCATCCGAAGCAGATTTTTGGCTGGAAAGCAGTTACTCAGGTAAGGTTTCCCATCATCCAGTTTGTAGATTCCTGAGGTGGCCATCTCCCTGGCAGTGAGGCAAGGAAATTGAGGAATCAGAAGAGTGAGGAAGCAACTCCTCACTGTGGGCACACAATGAGGCCCCAAAGGCCTCCTTCCCTGCTTAAGAAATGGCCTGGTCTTTGAAGTGAAGAGGAAGGCAAAGCCTTGGGTTTTTCAAATCAACCCTGACTTAGTAGAACTCTAGCAAGGGCATCATGTTGGGGCTCAGACAGACCTAGTTTGGATCTTAGCTCTGTCTTTCCTCACTCCATGATTGGCAAAGTTACTCTCTGACAAGGTTCGGTTTCCCCAGATGTAAATCAGAGTAATAAAGTAGTTAATAATACCTACCTTAGAAGAGGGATGAGGGTCAAGTTAGAAAGGTAGTGTCTGGTACATATTAAGTGTTCACTAGAAATTTTCTTTGTTTTGACAGAGTTAAGGAAGAGGAGTTGAATTTTATGTAAGATGATGTACAAATAATGAGATTTGTATGGGGATAAACAGGGTTGAAGGGATGAACTCAGCTTTCTGATAGAAAGATACACATTCCAAACAGAAGGGGCTCAGGACTGAGGGCATGATGTTTGGCAAGTCTGGTACAGTAAAAATACAGCCTGACTCAGGAAGGGGGAGCATGTGTGGCTGGAAGTCCTGGACAGTAGGGTGCCTGTTCCTGCAGGGCCTTCAGTGTCATGCTGGGAGCTCAGGCTTCAAGTGTCTGAGCTGAGGAGAGCCACAACCCAAGCTGACTGTTAGAAAGAGAGGTCTGATTGAAAATGCTAGGTGACATGGGATTCCACTGACTGATCACTGAATAGCGACAATTCTCAGAAATACTGTTGCAATGTACTTTTCACTCTTTCACTGCTTTATCTTTCATCATGTCCCAACTAGAATACTGTAATAATCCTTTAACTGGATTCCTACTGCGCATGCTTGAGCCTGGTCTTGCAGGCCCTGGGAGTACTAAGCCCTATCCCTGTCAGCTCCCATCAGGTTCACACAATCATTTTCTGTTCCTAAAACATACATTTTCTATTCTCTAAACACACATTCGGTCTCCCCTGCTTTTGTTCTTGTTGTTCCTTTGACTTAAAATAGCCTCCTCCATCTGGTTGATTGCATCCTTTAAGATTCAGCTCAAATACCAAGTCTTACAGGAATAAATCCCTAATAAAAGATCTAAATTTCTTTAACCTGAGTTCTTAGAGAGCTGATATTTTTCTTAAAAAGACAGATCTGAGGCAGACAGTGGGACAGAAAGTGTCAAAACAGGGGAGGAAAGAGCACAAGGAATGATGGATCATGGGTTTGGATCATGGGTGCAATGGTGGTGGGGGAAATGCAGGGACTGCACCTGTGGGAGAAATCAAACACTGTCCCAAAATGAACAATGATCTAAGAAAATAAATACTTTTAATTAAGAAAAAAAGGATCCAGGGCCACCCCGGTGGCGCAGCGGTTGAGCGCTGGGTTGCGAAGCTGCCCGTAGCCTCTGTAGCGCCGGTTCGATCCCCGGCTGCTCCCCGGCCAATGGAAGAGGATCCCACATGGCGCGCAGACCTCTCCTGCCCCCGCTGCTCCCCTCAGCAGTGTACTTTGGTCCTTCTGCCTGCTCTGCTCCCCGCTCTGGCTCTGGTGAATTCTCTCACCCTCCCGCGCTTCTGACTGTACCCAGTGCTTGTATGTATATATGTATAAATCAATCAATCAATCAATCAATAAATCTTTAAAAAAAAAAAAAAGAAAGAAAGAAAGGGTCCAGCCATTCTGACATTTGCTTTGGAACAACTTCAGGCAATTTGGGGTGATAAATGTTTAGAAATATGCAAACCCCTGGCAAGGTGAAGGGATGCTGTGGGAAAACTGTGGGACCCATAATTTCTATAAAAGAAGGAGCAGAGTGTTGAACTAGAATCAGGTGTCCAGGGAAGATGTTATTATCAGCAAGTTACAAGTGTGATGAGTAGAGTGATGCATTAGGAAGGGCAGTGATTTTGGAGGCAGGGAGAGTAAAAGTAAGCCTGTTTCCACCACTAAGCTAAGGGGACTTGGGCAAATGCTTTCCTCTTCATGGCTCAGATTTGTCACATATGAAATGAGGATAAAAACCTGTGCCCTGGGGAATGTCAGCAATGACGACTGTTGGAGAAGGTCCAGTAACTCACAGAGTATAGGAACCTTGCTTCTGGTCTACATAGTACTTACTTCATCTTTGACCTTGGGAAAGGCCCCTTGATTGCCTTCTTTTTTTGCTTCTTCACTTGTTTCTTCACCTACAAAATAGACATTGCACTCCCTCTTAGCCTGCCATTCAGATATATATGCTTTCGTTTATTAATGAACTTCCTCATTAATATATCCTATTATGACCCTTCTGCTCCAAAATATATCTCCCCTGGGGCCTAGAAAAATACCACAACTAAAGATCCCAGATACAGATGTACAGATGTAGAGAAAGAGACACAGACATAGGAAGGTGGAATAGAACAATTTTTGACAGTGGGATGGGGCTAAGAATGCTTAAATAATATATGCATATTAAAAATAAGAAAGGAAAGGATGGTTTATATGATTATTTACATAAATTTATATACAGTAAAAGCATCAGAGACAAAGTTGAAAGATAAGACACAACCTGGGAAAAGATATGTGCTATGCATAAAACACAAACGATGAAGCACTGAGGCTTAGTCATAGAAATTCCACTTCCCTCTGAGAAATACCAGGTGGTAAGGTGTAGATTTATAACTAATGGGTCAGGAAGGGCATATAACCCCCATATTACATTGCCTAGAAAGTAACCCTAAGAGAAATATAAATTTATCTGTATGGTGGGAAAAAATAATTTCAAGTTCCACAGTAGCAGCTGTCTCGTTAGCTTCAGCTATTTTGATCTCTATCTCAAACGAGGCAGCTAATCTCGATCTAACTATAATGTCTCTCAACTCCATAACATACACACACACACACACACACACACACACACACACAGTGTAATTCTTCACATCTGCATACATTTGCTTGTTCCATTCCTTTGGCCTATCACACTTCTGCTCCTCTTCTTTGCTTGCCTCATATGGATAACTCTCCTGTAACTCCCCCTCCTCAGGCTGGTCCTTCTCTGTGCTACCACTTTTAGGCCTGCCTCTTAATGGTGGCACTCTGCCAAATTGTACTATAATGGTCTGTTTACCTGTTTGTTCCATTCCTCACATCAATAACCCTAGTCTGTAAGTATCTCTAACACCAGACCTCTACCTTTATCTCTATCTCTAGGGTCTGGCCCATTGAAAGGGTTCTATGAGTATTTACTGAACTAAACTGAACCAGGAAAACAACACTATGGAGCTCTTGCTTCTGTCTGAGAAGAAATAAATCAGGAGCAAGGAAGGTTTCACAGAGCAGGTAACTTGAAAAATGATGTGGGTCTTAAAAAATGAGAAGTTATAATAAAAGATGAACACAAAAAGCTACAGCAATCCTCACCGGATTGTTTCACAGAGATGAGGAAATCTCGTCTACCATTATTTAGTGGTAGGCATTTTTTTTTTAAGATTTATTTTATTTATGCATACAAGAACCGGGGTACAGGCCAGATGTGCAAGAGGGTGAGAGGATTCACCAGAGACAGACTGGAGAGCAGAACAGGCAGACTGACTGAAATACACTGCTGAGGGGAGCAGCGGGCAAGACAGGAGAGGTCTGCTGCCCCATGTGGGTATCTCGCCTGTTGGCCGGGATCAAACCTACACTGCAGAGCTGCAGGCAGCTTCACAGTGCTGCCCTCAATCTTGTGCACTACCAAGGAGGCCCTTTAGTGGTAAGTATTATCACATGAATGTGAGCTTCATTGAGATAGGGACCTTGTCTGTTTTATTTGGGGATAGATCCTCAGTGATTAGAACAGTGGCCACTACATAGTAAGCACTCAACATGTATTTGTTCAATCATTTGAGCACTTATGAGGGAGTCATGGAGGTGAAAGACAAACAAGTGATGCAATGTAAAAGGGGAGAGTATAATACAATCCTATTTTGTGGTAACTCCAGGTCACTAAAACAAGGGTTCCAGGAGAGTAGGGAAAAACTTGATGCCCTTGTATCAAGTCCCAGTCCCGGCAATGCTGGTGCTCAATAAATATTTGTGGGGGGAAATGAATTAATAAAAATGTAGATACTATTACATCTAAAACTAAAAAAGCAGTAGTGGCAAAGGGAACATCCCACAGGTTCTGATGTCCAAAAAAAAACCTGACTTCTAAACCAGGTTCTGATACACGCTATCGGGCCTTGGATTAGTGCCCTAGTTTCCTCATCTGACAGGGCTCGTAGTGGACTAAATTAAAGGGTGAATGTAAGTGCACAGAGGACACAGCCTGGCAGACAAATGTGAGTTCTCAATGCCACGAAAACATTGCAAACAACGAAGATGGCAACCACTAGAGAAAAACCTGTACGTGCTGTAACAGGAGTAGAAAAGGCTGGAAGACGAGATGCTGCACCCCTTCAGAAATTCAACATCTGGGGCGGGGAAGACCCACTTAGGCGAACTAAGTGTTCTGTCGTACCTGCCTGCGGCGTCGCTTCCGCCTTCGAGTAAACCGCAGGGGCGTCGTCCCGACCAGGCGGGATGCGCGCCTGCGACCCTCCCCGGGATCTCTAAGCCGCTCCACTGTGGCGCCTATCACTGGCTTCTTCACCCCTTAGTAACCGCGACGCGGCGTTGGCAATGTAGGCGGCAACCGGCGGCGAGAACTACAAGTCCCAGCGAGCCCCGCGGCCACTTCCGCTGGCAACGCGTCAGCAATCCTCGACTACGGATCCCGACGCCCTCCGCGCGGCGCCGCATCCGTCAGCTTCAGCCAATCGGCTTCGGCCAAGTCGGAGGGGAGGGAGACACAGAGGCAGAGAAGATGGCGGCCGCGGCTGCACAGGGCGGGAGGGCTGGTGGTGGCGGAGGTGGCGGTGGTGGCTCCAGCTGCGGCACAAGCAGTAGCCGTGGCGGCTTGTTGGATAAGGTGAGGCGCCGGTGCTGGAGAGGCCCCGGAGGGCTGCGGGGGCGGCGAGTCCACCTTCCCATCACGCCCCCGTTTTCTTGAGCTGCTCCCGGGGGGGAGTATTCCTAGTCTGGCCTGCATGGAAGTGCTGCAAGCTCTTGTAGTCCTTCTCCCACTTCACGCCCATGCTCTCTCTTTAGGTTTTTCTTTTCGGAGGTGTTCCAGGTCCTTGACGTTGGTCACCATAGCTTCTGGTAAATTGGTTATGCCCACATTTCACCGTGACCATCGCTTTTCCTCTGTGGTGCCGGGACCTGTTACTCTTAAGTTGTCCTTTTTACCGACTGGGAAAACCAGAGACTGAAGAAATGAAACCGTCCACTAAAGTCGGTAGCCACTGAGCCCTCGGGCACTATGCCCATTGCGTGCTGCTGCATATGCCAAGTACTCGTGGACCTTCGTTTCGTTTGCTTACTGAAATGTCTAGGCGTTTTGTCGCTATTCAGGATACTGAAATTAAGAGTATTGGCCTTCTCTGCTGGGTTGACAAGAAGCCTTTAAGATTTATCTATTTTCTTCTCTCTCACCCTCCCGTTTCTTTCTCTCTGTAGTCAAGTGCACTAAGTGCATCGAATTCAAGAGGCTGCTGATCTTGGCCTCTTCCGCCCATCTAGCTTTTGTGTGTCCCCCCTCTCCCCCAACAAGGATTATTTTAAAAGAAGGGCAAAAAGGAAATTGTGCCTGGGTTTCCCCATATTGCCCTTTGCTTAGCATATTGTAGGAAATGATTGGGTGAAGATCTGGGTCCTTAGTACCTCTCATTAAATGTGTGACCTTGAAATAAGCATTTTCTCCCCATGTCTCTTCCTTCATCTGTAAGTTTCATACACAAATTCTGCCTTTCCCCTTGGTGAGCACCTCATAGCCTTTGCTCATCCTTTCCCATTAACTGTTTTTGCTCTTCTCTCCACTTGGATTATCACCAGCAAACGAAGCCTGGGCATTCTGACAAGGCACGATTATACTGGAAAGTATATATTATCACTGTGTTATTGAAAAGACTTGGTTTTGGGGATCAAGGGTTTTGAAGTAGCTCTGCTACTTCAAAACTGTGAAGGTTGAAAAGTCAGTTAACTAAGCTTCCCTTGGGGCTTGGGGGAGAAACAAATTAGATGATATATGTGAATGTTCTTTCTAACCTGTAGTGTTTACTATAAATGTGTGACAGAGAAATAAATCCAGATCCTACTGTCAGAGTACTCAGTATAGCTAAGTATAGAAGATAGAGGACTGAAATATTTAACAGAGAAGTATGTGATTTATTCCAGTTATACTTTTGCCTAAGTTTGATGTGAGAATGATCTCTGAAATCGAACTGATACGGGGGGTGAAGGAAAAGACCTTGTTTCTAAGAGTGGAACTGGGATCTTATTTTGGGGGAGAGGGAGAGGATCATACCAGGTGAGATAGTTTCCTTCAGTAAAGTTACACAACTGGTCTCTGATGTTTCTTAGGTAGTGAGTTGACAGGATGGTTCTCTAAGAGGGCTGTAAGTGACAAGAGCTAGAATCAGCTTGGGTTAGTCATGGATTGCTTGAAGTAGGAATAGGAAGCTGTTGAAGGTTTTTGAGACTAAAGTGGCTTTAGGAAAATTATTCAGATAGTTTGAGCCTTATTGTTTTTTTGGGTTTAGTGTAAAAAGAAAGACAAGTTTGTGTTCTAGTGCAGCACGTTGGTTACATGGAGTTGGATATGTTACATAATTTAAATGAACTTAAATTTCTTTTTTTTAATCTTTTTTTTAAAAGATTTATTTTATTTTTATGCATACAAGAGCTGGGGTACAGGCTAGAGGTGTGGGGGGTGGGGTGGGGTGTGAGGACTCACCAGAGACAAAGTGGGAAACAGAACAGGCAGATTGATTGAAATACACTGCTGAGGGGAGCAGTGGGTGAGTCAGGAGAGGTCTGCTGTGCCATGTGGGTTGCTCCCTGGCCGGGGAGCAGTGGCTGCAGACAGCTTCATAGGTTGTGTTCTAACCCTTGCACCACCAGGGAGGCCCTGAACTTAATTTTCTTACAAAACAGTGTGGATGTGTATTACAGGTTTGTTGTAAATGTTAAATTGTGTAGTATTGGTAAATGATCTTTATAAAGAACTGTAAGAATAGAATGACAATGTGATGAAAACTCCAGCTTGAGTAGCAGAAATGGATAAAAGGCCTCACAAAAGAGTAACTGGTAGGATCAGACAGTTGTATTAACCAAGAAATGAGGGACAGAGTAGAAAGAAAATAGTCAAGAGCTGTTCAGGTGTTTTTCCTTGGAAATCATGTCATGAATTCTTTATTGCTTATTGCATGTGGGAATACTGTCTTGTGTTTTTCTATTAGTTTGTAATTTTATAAGTTTCTTAGCTCCTGTAGTGGTCAACACAAAATAAATACTTGCAGCATTGAATATACCAGAGGAAAAAATTCATATCTACCACCTCAATTTTCAAAAACAGCCTTAGAGGATGGTGCCTCTAATTGCCTGAAAACTGAGGGTACTGTGAAAGAGAATGTACAGGATCTTACTGACAGGATGCTTTTTCTCTGGGAATGAGAGACTTACCTTACAATCTCTTTAATTTGATTTGACTCCATTTTGGGGAAGAGATTTTATTTCTGGCAGCTATAGTTTCATTTAACAAAGAAATGTAATGAAGACCTGCGAATGTGCTTCTGGCTTTCACTAGACAGATGTGAATTTCTTCTATGAAACTGACTTTAAGAACAAAGCAATTCTATGTAGTTCCCTCATCTAAGAAATAGGTATGCTAGTATAATCTTCCATCCTCCATTACAGAATAACTTTACTTAGATCACTGTAGTACATTATTTTGGCCAAAATATATGAAAGCAAACAATTAAGAAAAATTGCATAATTTTTTTTGGCTACTAAAATTGATAGGTGGTATTAAGCCCAGCCTCATCTTAAAGCACAGCTTTTTTAGCTTAGACTTGGAGCCAGACTGTCTTTTTGACTTTGAAATATGATTCAGATAATTACTGGATATATGGTCTTGGGCAAGTTAATAAATCTTTTTCTCAGTTTCCTCATCTGTAAATTGGGTAATAATAGTATGTACCTTAAGATATGTTGTTTGGTACATAGTAAGCACGCAACAAAATACATGTAGCTACTAATTAGCTGTTACTCTGACTTTAGCTTTCTAAGATAAATGCTTTTTATAACATGATATGAAGACTCTACATAAGACTCCATTGGGGTTTTGGTTAAAAATACAGATTTCTGGACTTCATCCTGAGTCTGAATCAGATTCTCTGGACGTGGGACCTAGGCAACTGCATGTTTTCACACATAGCTATTTATTGATTTCCTTGACATTTTAACAGTTACTTACAGGATGAGAACCCTTGTCTTAGATGATTTTTAAATTCCTTCTGCTTCTGACATTTTAAAGTTTTTTTTTTTGGTTGTTTGGTTTTTAATTTTTGGTTTGATTTTTTTATCTATTCTGTTTAATCAGTAGTGGTTTCTCTTGAATTGTTTATAATGAAGAAAGCTTGAGGTTCATTTGTTCCAGTCTCCTCGTTTTATGGACATAGTTGGAAAAGGAAAGATGAAGCAACTTTCCTAAGACCACTCAGTGAGTGAGCACACAAAAATTTTTTAAGTTGATGAAGTCAAAGCTAACAAGTACTGAAACAGTATTAGTTTGCAAGACAATATTTTAAAAGCACTACCTTGTTTCTTTAAACACAATTACAGTAATATTATAAAACGTCCATCTTCTTTGTCAGAACTGGGTCACAGGGCACAAGCATACTCTCTAGAAGTCTTACAAGCTAAGCCATGATGAAGAAAGCGAAAAGACAATCCACAGAATGAAAGAAAATATTTGCAAATCATATTTGATAATATATCTAGACTATGTAAAGAATCTTACAACCCCAAAATAAAAAGACATTCCACCTTTAAAAAAGAACAAAGTATTTGAACAGACATTTCTTCATTGGGGATATCCAGGTGATCAGTAAACACTTGAAAAGATATACAACATCATTAGTTTTATTTTGTTTTTTCCCCCTCAGAAGCCCCACGAGTGCCCGGGTCAACATCATTATTAGAGATGTTATTGTTATTAGAGAAATTCATGTCAAAACCACAATAAGGTATCACTTCATAATCTCTAGGATGGCCACAATCAAAAAACAAAAAAGTAACCGGTGTTGGTGAAGATGTGGATAAACTGGAACCCATGACGTGGGTGGGAATATAAAATGATGCAAGTGCTTTGAAAAAGTTTGTCAGTTCCTCAGAAAATTAAACATAGTGATACTATTTGTTTGGCTCAACATATTCCACTCCTAGGTGTAAACTCAACAGAATTGAAAAATGTATGTCCATCCAATTCTGTTGGGTTTACACCTGGAAGTGGAGCATGATCACATCTTCACCAGCACTGCAATGTAATATTACTGGGCAATAAAAAGAAATAAAGTACTGACAAGTTACAACATGAGTGAACCTTGAAGACTGCTGAGTACCAGTCACAAAAGACCCCATATTGTTTCAATTCATTTAAATGAAATGTGGACTAGGCAAATACAAAGTAGAGGAGTAGTTGTCAGGGCTGGGGAGTTGAGGTGGTGGGTGGGTATGACTGCTTCTGTGTCCTGGGTTTCTTTTTGGGGTGATGAAAATAATACGGAATTACATAGTGGGACGGTGCATAGCCTTGTGAATATATTGAGCAGCACTGAATGGTACATTTTTAATGGTGAGTTTTATGGCCTGTGAATTATATTTCAGTTTTAAAAACTTAATTCTTTTGTCTTCATCGGCTTTATGGAATAACCTTTAAAACTTCAAGTTGTTATTATTTTGAACAATTTATTCATTATGTAACACAGTTGTGTCACAGATATTAAATACTGTCTGCCTAGGTTCCTTTTACCTGTAGCCTATGCCATTTCTCTGCTCTGACCTCTTGTCAATCGTCAGTGGTTTTTCATATTATCAGATCTTTGAGTAGCATGACTCATTGATCACTTCTTTTTTTGAAGTATTTTCTTTATGTAGCTTCTAGAACATCCCTTACCCCTGCTTTTCCTCCTTCACTGGTCTGTCTGTACTGTTACTATTACTCTTTGTTGTCTTCATCACCTACATGTAAGTATTGGCAAGCCCTCTGCCCTCTTCTTGACATTGATCCCCGTGTCATGGCTTAAATGCCATCTATAAGTTCATGACTTACAATTATTTTTCCTTCTCTGAGCTTACATATCCAGCTGCCTATTTGCCATCTAGCAGACTAGCCAGTCTGCTTACCTCTGGATTCTTAGAAGTTGCCACTAATGTACATGCTTATAATTTAACTAACATGGTAATTTATAACCTCCAACTTGACTCCAATGACAATGAAGCCAATAATAAGCCACTATTAGCAGATGTTTTGCTTTGCAGTATTTCTTGGTTATTTTTACTAAAAATAGATTGAAAATGGAAGATTAAATATGCTGCCAAAAGCTATAATCTAAGATAACGGTTTTTGTGAGTTGGAACCTAAAGTAAGTGACGGTGCATATTTTCAAGATATCATTTTTTCCCCCACATTGAGCATATTTTTTATTTTGAATTTACTGCTTTCTGATCTTTTGCTAAACGTGTGGTTATAAAGTGTAGAGATGTATATTTAAAATGCAGATTTAATCTCAATTTCTGAGTCTACCATTAATTTTTATAATCTTACTTTGGTTTAAAAATTTTTGAAATACTATAGAGCTTAAGTGCCTCATACCTTATAAAAATGGGTATTCTTTCCTCTGGTGTTACTTCTCTTAAACAGTGACATGACATGGAAACTGTTATCCAAGCACAAATTAGAGGAGAGTGGTCATCTCTCTCAGATGGCTTCTAGGTACTAGACAGTGGTGTTGCAATAATGTCTACATTTTGTCTCCAAAAATTACCAAGAAATTATCCTGAGTTGTAGAGGCAAGTTTCTTTTTTGTAGATGCTGCAGGTAGTGAGAGGTGACTGGCTTTCTATGCAATTATGATATTTTCTTTTGGGAATAAGCCCCAAGTTTTGTTTTTTTTTTTTTTTAAGACTTTTTTTTTTTTTATGCAAGCACTGGGCACAGCCAGAAGCGCGGGAGGGTGAGAGAACTCACCAGAGCCAGAGCGGGGAGCAGAACAGGTAGACTGACAAAGTACACTGCTGAGGGGAGCAGCGGGCGGCAGGAGAGGTCTGCGCGCCATGTGGGACCCTCCTCCGGTGGCTGGGGAGCAGCCGGGGATTGAACCGGCACCGCAGAGGCCTTGGGCAGCTTCGCAACCCAGCGCTCAACCGCTGCACCACCAGGGAGGCCCAAGCCCCAAGTTTTTAAAATGACTATTTCACAACTCAGATTTTGTTGGGGATTCTGTCAGTACGAGTTCTTTTACTTGCTGTTATCGAAATGGGATTTCAACATAAATAAGCTATTTAGCTAGAAAATCTGTTAATTCTTGATTTAATTTGCATTTAAAAATTTGGTGTCAAATTTGATTTGTAGCCTGACACACTGTGGGAGTCAATATTATAACATGCTTCCATGAGTAATTTTGTTGAAGAAAATTCTTGTGAGATGCCAAATGGGGGAGAGGGGCATGATTGACCGACTTTTAATCACTTGAAGTATGACTGATTTAGTTCTTGGGTTTTTTCACACACCCCCAGCAAACTTTGGAGAGCAGGTTTTCCTTTTTTGTATAGCAATATATGGAATCACAGTTAAATAAATAAATAGAACTTGATCTTGCTTGCTTTTTACATTCTTCCCTTTTTTTTTTTTTTTTTTGTATTCGGTACCCATAAATATATGCTCAAAAAGATAAATAGAAAGTCACTTTCCCATCCTTTAGTAAAGTCTGTGCTAAAACCCAGTGAAGTTTGGATTGCCTGCTAGTTTATAATTTTTATGAAGGTAGACTTTGTTCCCTTGATATAAAAAATTAAGAGTTGGTCACTATGATCTGTAAAAGGCAGGTTTATCAGTTATTTTTAGCACCCTGTTCCACTTTAAGCTATATTCATATAATCCCTGCATTTGAGAAAACTTTTAGCTATATAATGCATTCACATGATTACAAATTAAAAAGACTTTATGTTGAGAAGTCTCACACCTAACTGTGTCCCTCTTCCTTCTCAGGACATCTAGATGTACCATAATTTGTTTAACCCACTAGAGATGAACACTTAGAGTAGCTTTGTATATTATTTCATGTATACACATAGGATGTTGAATCCAAGTTGCTAGATAGTCTTCTATAGGTGGTGTACCATTTGGAACTTTTCTGCCAATAGTGTGAGAGAATCACTTTCCTCCAACAGTGAAACACAGTTCCCCTGAGCACAGTCTTTGGGAATCTTTCTAAATCTGTGTAGATGAGGAAATTGGAAAAGGGCTTGTCAGAATCACAAAACTGATCTTAATCTTAGCACTTGGTTTTTAATTTGAAGTGTTCTTTCAAACTGATTACACTGGATTTACTGTTTCCTACAGTTAATACATGGTGGTTAAAATATGAAAGTTGCTCACTACAAAGTTGTATTAAAGGAGATTCACCTCACTTTGATAGTGTCGAAAAATTCATGGAAGTATATTTTCTGAGTTTCTTGGTCACAGAATGAAAGGATGAACAAGTGAATTTCTTTTCTATATGGGTAAAATGGAGATGGGATGCGTGAGTTCACACTGTAGTCTACAACCTGTGTAAGGGTTCTAGTTTAGGGTTTGTTATATTTTGACTTCTTAGCATGGAGACAGGCAACATTTGAGTACCACCAGAAATGTAATCTGGTCTCCTTCAGTTTCATTTTTAAATGTCTTGGCTTTTAGCTTTTTAACATGAGAAGACTGTAAACATTTTGTATAATTTAGGATATTCCTAAGGAAATAAGTAGTTCATTTTACTTTCGGTCAGATGACATGTCTCTTAATGCACAACTCTTCTATTTGTTTTACAGTGGAAGATTGATGATAAGCCTGTAAAAATCGACAAATGGGATGGATCAGCTGTGAAAAATTCTTTGGACGATTCTGCCAAAAAGGTACTTCTTGAGGTAAAGGGTATGATAGCATGTCTCTAACTATGGCCATCTCCTGCGGGGTCTTTTTCCTCTGTGACTTTTCAGTGTTGGGACTTGAACAAGAAATAAGTTTCTAAAACCCTTACTGTGTAAGTAGGGGGAGATGTGTTAAAATGAAAATGTTAGGTATTTTGTCCTCTTCAAAGTCTCTTTTTTTTTAAATCCAGAAAGCTAGTAGTCTCATGCTTTTGAGGTTAATTTGCCTAGAACATAGAACATTCATGGATGACCATCCATGAGTGGTCATCCGTCCGTTTAAAAGGAGGAAAGAAACTGTTAGCTTCATCGTGGGGAAAACTGGGGGATTTAAAAAAAAGTTATATGAGAAGTTGATAAACAATTTCACTGGGATTTGTTGTAAACAGCTTTTGCAGTAAAATTGTGATTGGAGGGAACTGTTTGATAATTATATGGTCCTTAACATAACTTTAGCATGGAAATGAGTAAAAGCAGGTACTAGAACGGACACATTCCTTTTAGCTTGATTTCTTGTTCTTCTCTCTAGGTACTTCTGGAAAAATACAAGTATGTGGAGAATTTTGGTCTAATTGATGGTCGCCTCACCATCTGTACCATTTCCTGTTTCTTTGCCATAGTGGCACTGATTTGGGATTATATGCACCCGTTTCCAGAGTCTAAGCCTGTTTTGGCTTTGTGTGTTGTATCATATCCTTTATTATGCTCAGGTTTGTTTCTACTGGTTTATTTTTTTAATTTCTGATACTTTTCCCTGCTCCCAAAAAGCAAACTTTGATGTTGGGGCCTGCTAATGTTGGAATTTAATATTATGAGGTGTGGGTATTTGTGCATTTGTATATTAATTATCATTGATTGTGTAGATTTCACATGGATATTTTATCTTTAATTACATGTAGTTATTAATGTAGAGGTTATTATTTAATCCACATGTGAGTGCTAATAGCAACACAGTAATAGTGAGATCCAGCTCTTTTCTAACCCAGAGTTTTTTTGCATTGGACCAGGTGCTTCAAAGGTTGTCTTGAAGCAGAGGGGCTGGACTGGGAAGTACTGAACAGGAGGTATTGGCCTGGGCTGGGGGAGGGAGGTAAGAGTGGACTTAAGAATCTTTTCTGGAGATAGTGAAGGTTTGAAGTTCAAGGTGTTTGGTGATCTTGTGATACTAATAGCTGCTTAAATGCTGCTTATTTATAAATAGGGATTTTTTTTTTTTTTTTTTTTTTTTTTTTTTGTGGGACCCTCGCCGGTGGCCGGGAAATGAACCAGCACTGCAGAGGCTGCAGGCAGCCTCGCAGCCCAGCGGTCGACTGCTGCACCATCAGGGGAGGCCCTGTAAATAGGGGTAATACTCAGAACTGTGAATGAGATTTTTTTTTAAGGTTTATTTATTTATGCATGTGATAGCTAGGGTACGGACCAGAGGTGCGGGGGGTGAGAGGATTCACCAGAGACAGAATGGGGAACAGAACAGGCAGATTGACTGAAAGAGCAGCGGGTGAGACAGGAGAGGTCTGCTGTGCCTTGCGGGTCACCTCCCTGGCCAGGGATCGAACTTGTGCTGCAATGGCTGCGGATAGCTTCACAGTGCTGCGACTTAACCCCTTGTGCCACCAGGGAGGTCCTGTAAATGAGATATTTATAATGGGTTTGGTATGTAATTGGCTCTCAGATGTTTCCTTTCTACTTTCCTTTTTATAAATACAAAATCATATTTGTTACCTCCCAGCTTAATTCTCAAAAAAACTGGATAGAAAGAACCTGTTATTATAATTATTACAAAAGTTATACACGTTCATAGTAACAGTTTTCATACACCCCCAGTCAATCTGTATATACTGCATTTTTCTTTTTAACTTAAGCATTGTATGTTTTTCCATATTAAAATATATACATCTACCACATTCTTAACAGCCACAGGGTGCTACTGAGTGACTGCTGTGTGCCAGCATTGTACTAGCTGTTTAAAAAAGTCATTTTGGTAGGCATTTTACTTTTCTTACTAATGTTGTCTCTACCTGAAATATTTCTTAAAAATTCCACTTTGGGAATTTTTCTTCAGAGGGAGTTAGCAAACCCTTTAATAAAGCAGGGCCTGATCAAAAATGGTATTTTCCAAATTGATCCTAAAGCTCAGTCCCCAGAGTTGACACCTTCACATCTTTCCCTAATCAGATAAATTGCCCCACAATTAGTTTTACTATTAAGACTATTCAAAAGAATGTGCCATAGGTTCTGGAGACAGTTTCCAAAGGGATTCCAAAGAGATGTGGACAAATAACAGCAACATTATTGCAAATACATAATCTCACAAGAGAACTCCCTTAATGGAATTTCATTTATTTGGTTATATTTATTTTAAATGAAATAAGATCTTGCTATTTTTATAATCATGTCATTTTTATATGTAATAGTAATGGCTACCATTAAAAATGTTTCAATAATGAATCCATACATATATATATATGAAGTAATTGTCCTCAAACTAATTTGAAGTCACTTTTCCTTTAATTACCTTGAAATTAGTTGAATGTGAACAGGTTCATTGTTGTTATTAGTTTTGATTTTTATGGAGAAATAAAAATGAATCTTGACAAGCTAGGTAAAAGAGAATCTTCTTATATATGTTGTTCTTGAACAGAAAATGTGAGCTGGTTTATTCCCTGCATTTTTTCCCTTTCTTCTTTTTTGGAGGTTTTTTTTTAAGTATTAATGAGAGAATGCCTCGCTCCTTCACTATGGCTACCTTTATGAAAGTTATTATAGCCCTTGCTTGTCATTTGTGTTATTCCTCTTCTGTATGTATGTTTGTGTTTTCCCCTTAACTTTATTTGAACCTATTTTGTGATGATGGGAATCCTGACCATTTACACCTCATATAAGGAGAAGAGCATCTTTCTTGTGGCCCACAGGAAAGATCCTACAGGGATGGATCCTGATGATATTTGGCAGCTGTCCTCCAGTCTCAAAAGGTATGACTCTCCTCACAGATGCTTAAATCTTGGTGTTGGATTTTTCCCTGGGTGTTGAGTCGTTATCGGCAACTGACTATTGTGTTCCTAGTCTACGCAGTAGGAACACTGCATTTTACAGTGATGTAAAATGAAGAAAAGTGTGTGAATAACCTAAATATGGTCATTTTTCCTAGCACTGACTCCTGAGGTACTGCTTTATCACAGAGGCACTCTCAGGATAAATTGTGTGATGATGTTCTTTGGTGGAAGAATGAAGACTGGTTTTCTTTTTCCTTGCCGCCAATTAACTGAGCCAGTTAGAGTGCAGAACTGTCAAGGGCAAAGATGTGAAGTCAGTTTTCTTTGAAGAACCCCATTAGCTTCTGTTTTCTGTGACCTTGAGTGTACTCTATGCAGTCAGGATCCCCTGGAGGAGTGCACTGGGCAGCCCAGAGCAGCACAGTTGAGTCTGTTTATGACCAGTTTATGCAAACTAATACCCCAGGTCCTTGTAGATATCCAGAATTCAATTCAAATTCCAGCTCGCCTCTGGCTGCAGTTGACTTTTGGTGTGTCATGTAAACTATTTGAGCTTTAATAGAGTGAAAAGTGAGTCCTAGAGTTGTTGGAAAAATGAGCTGCCAGTTGTAAAAAGAGTGAATACCTTTGAAACTTTTGCCACATTCTGCTAATTGCCAAATACATGACCTCGTTTAAAACAACCCATTTTTTTTAGATAAGAACATAGGTTTGAAGGGCTTACTGAATTTTAAGCCCACAGGTGAATTTGAGCAGTAATTCCAACTTAAGCCTGAACCCAGAACTCGTGCTTTTAGTCACTATCCTGAAAAGACATGTAGTCATTCCCAGCACAGAGGAGGCTTTTAAATGTAATGATTCAGGGCCTCCCCGGTGGCACAGCGGTTGAGCGCTGGGTTGCGAAGCTGCCCGCGGCCTCTGCGGTGCCGGTTCAATCCCCGGCTGCTCCCCGGCCACCGGAGGAGGGTCCCACATGGCGCGCAGACCTCTCCTGCCGCCCGCTGCTCCCCTCAGCAGTGTACCTCGGTCCTTCTGCCTGCTCTGCCCCTTGCTCTGGCTCTGGTGAATTCTCTCACCCTCCCGCGCTTCTGACTGTACCCAGTGCATGTATAAACAAAACAAACAAGCAAACAAATAAATAAAGAAAAACATGCCTCTAAAAAAAAAAATAATAAAAAAAAATAAATGTAATGATTCAGATGAAAATGCATACATTGTACAAAAACGAAAAATGATGTAAAAATACATAAAATAAAATATACATAATGATTCATATGTGAAGGTAAATATAGCATCAACACCAAACAGCCTCTCTCATTACTAACTTGTGGAGATCCCTGTGAAGAAGAGCAGACCTTTATTCTGCTTTTGCAGCTGAGTTCTTACCTCCTGGCAGGGCTCCTGGCTACCCATTGACCTTGGCCATCATAGCTCTGTATTCTGCCACAGCACTAAAGCACGGTTACCAAATTCTAGAACCTAGCAGCATGTTGATTCATTATTTTCATTCTGACTTGAATGTTTTTAACCACTTTATTGAGATACAGTTCACACGCCATATAGTTTGCCTAAAGTGTGCAGTTCAATGGTTTCGAGTGTATTCACATGTATTTGCAACCATCACCACAGTCAACAATTTCACTGCCTCAAAAAGAAACCTTAAACCCTATCCCCCCATTTCCTCTAACATTAAATGACCATTAATCTACTTTGTGTCTCTTTAGATTTCATTTGAGTGAAATACTTCTTATGAATGGAATCATGTAATAGGTGATCTTTTGAACTGACTACTGTCACTTAATATTTTCAAGGTTCATTGATGGTGTGGCATGTATCCATATTTCATTCCCTTTTATGCCAGCCAGTATTCCATTGTAGGGATCTCTCACATTTTGTTTATCCATTTATCAGTTGGACATTTCAGTTATTTCTACCTTTTGGCAGTTACGAATAGTGCTGTTATAAACATTCTTGTATACTTTTTTGTGTGGACATATGTTCTCATTTCTCAGGTAATGTACCTGGGAGAGGAATTGCTGGGTCATGCTAACTCTTTTTGATTATATGAGGAATTGCTTGACTGTTTTCCAAAACAGCTGCACCATTTATAATCCCACCAGCAATGCTTGAGGTTTCTGATTTTCTACATTTCCTGTTGATTTTTTCCAGCTGCCATAGTGTGTGTGCCTGTAGAGAAGTATGCCACCTCTCTTCCTTCTCATTGCAGTCAAATACAGCCCTCTTCTCTTTCCTGGAAGATAGCTCCTGCTCAGTGGCACTCTCTGGCATAGCTCGTTTCAAAAGTCTTGGTGATTTGTAATTCCCAAGTTGATGTTTATTCTAATACTTTGATCTCTCGCTTTTCCTTCTTCCTTTCCTCTGATTGTTTTTGTTTTCTATCATGTCTTAAACACTTATTTCCTTGGACATACCCTAGACCTTGCTATTACTGGTAACTATTTTCAATAATTTCAGTTTTTAGTATCCCACTGCCTAACCAGGGCTTCCCGTTTTTCTAGTTTCTCCCATTTCTCTTGGCCCAGTAGTTCTTTAGCCCCAGTGGTATCTGCTATCCTTTGCATCTTTTTACTTTTTACCTACCATCTTTTTACTACCCTCTGTCCCTTCGTCATCTCACTTCCTTTTTACCCAGCATAGTTTCCATGATGTTTCTGTAGTTCAGTTACTCATTCACTGCCCTTAGAGAAAATCTCGGACTTTCTGCTCTACCCACAAGCCTGCTGTCCCCTCCCCCACCTGTCCTTAGCTTTACTTTCAGCTTCTTTTGTTGCTGAGAAGATAGAAGTAATGAGAAGTCACCTGTTCCTACCCACTTTGGTGTGCTCATTATAGTCTTCCTTCCCTACAGAGGCCTGTCTAAGGTCACTTCTCCGTTTAACCTCTAGAGTCCATTCCTTCTCACTTAATGTTTTCCTCTTTGCTGGATCATTCCGTGGTACACAAATGTGCTCTGATTTCTCCCACCCCCCTACCCCCGAATGTTTCCTTTTCCTTTATTCTTATAGTCCTCCCATTTCCCTTTTCCCTTTCTCCCATCAGCTCCTGGGTCTGCTATTATGTTCATGTTTCTTTACTCATCACTGTTGCCCTGTCAGCAGCATTTAACACAGGGAATCACTCTTTGTTAATACTTTTTAACTGGATACCATAATTTTCTAAATTTCCTCTGACTTTAAAGTCTACTTCTTTGTGATTCTGTATTATCCCCATCTCTAATATACTCTGACCACTTATCTCCATTGCTGCCATCATCTCTTACTTAAGTTACTGTAATAAAGCCCTAATGGACCTCCTTAGCTAACTCTGTGCCTGTAGTCTATTCCCAGCATAGTAGTTAGAGTGATCCATTTGAGATACATCTTCTCAGTCCTCTACTCAGAACCCTTTCTTTCACTCAGAGAAAAAAACCTAAAATCCTGAGGATGGCTTAGAAGTCCATACCTATCTACTCTTTGCACCCCACAACCTTCACATGCACACTCCTCATCTCTTAGATTTCCCACACTCAATTCTCTTAGCATATTCTTGTCTCAGGGTCTTTGCATTTTCTGTTTCCTCTGCCTGGAATAATATTTTTCCCAAATAGCTTGTTCCCTGACTTCAAACATGTGCTTGGAAAAGCCTTTCCTGCCTACCATATTTAAAAGAACATCGTATTTTTACTTTTGTTATTGGTTCCCTCATAACACTAATGTAAAAGTTCCAAAAGTCAGGGATTTGTCTATTGTCTTAACTGCTGTGTATCCTTAGCATCTAAAACGGCCTAACATATATGGTTAGTGCTGAGTAAATATTTGTTTAATAACATGAGCGCATGTCTTGCCATCACAGCCGTGGAACTGGGCTCAGAAGTCCAAAAATTATTTTGGTATTAGTTAGCAGCAGTTGGTCAGAACTTGAGAAAAAAATTTGGAGTGTTGAAAATAATTCAAGGGCCTTCACTCCTAGCTATCCATGTTTGGAGTAACTTGACTAGACAACAGTTTATTGAGGTGATTTTTTTTGAGCACCAATTAATAATAGGTACTGTCTTACGACAATGATCCTGAAAAGTAAGCAGTAACTTTCCCATTTTACATATGAAGAAGCAGCCCAAGGATCTGCTTTCTTTAAGGGTAGTAACAGTCTGATAGTCCATTGAATAGTGCCCCAGTTATATGGAGTCAGAAACAGGTGTGTGTGGGGGGAGCCAATGTCAGCCTCCCAGAGGTTGATATTATAAATCCTCTTGAATGGGTAGAGATAGAAAAGACTTTCAAGCTATCTTAAGGTGCAGCCAGAGAATCTCTAGAGTTCATGCAGTTACTTGACCTCCCTTCCTGGGATCATGGTAGAACCTGGAGCTAGATTGATTAAATAGTACAATGACTGGACAACTTCAAATGGGGGAACACCTGTGAAAACAAGATTTTTCACTTGTTCATATAAATTTGATTGCCTACTAAGTGCCAGACTAAGGATAGAAAACTAATAAGACAAAATCCTTAACCTTAAGAATCACCTGGTCTAGTGAAGAATACAAATACGTAAACATTTCAAAAGATAATTTCATGGGAAAATGATAGCCTATCATTAGACCTGACACATGATGGGTACTTGATATTAAGAGTTGACCACTGATTGTTGGTGATGTGGTAGACAGAGGAGCAACTTATGACACAATTTGGGAGTGTTTGGGAAGGCTTTTCCAGAGTTTATGCCCAAGTATAGTACTAACAAAAGGGAGCTAGGTAAGATTGGAGAGAGGTGTCTACTAGTGCAGTAAGTTTGAAGTTCAAGGTTAGAGAAGATGGTCTATAGCATTACACTCTGTGACAAGGAAAAGAAAGCACATAGTAATTAAATGAGATGTGGCAACACTTGTGAATCAGAACCCGCATCAAGAAGACATTTTCCTGGTTTGTTTTGTTTTGTTTTTTTAAAATGGTAGATCTGTGTGTTCCCTTCACCACCAGTAGCTCAACCTTGTTCTTCAGAAACATTTGGCACTTTCTTGTTACTGGTTGAATCCCTGTGTTTGGTATTTGATTTATTATCTTTGCTTAGGTTCGATGACAAATACACTCTGAAGCTGACCTTCATCAGTGGGAGAACAAAGCAGCAGCGGGAAGCCGAGTTCACCAAGTCCATTGCTAAGTTTTTTGACCACAGCGGGACACTGGTCATGGATGAATATGAGCCTGAAATATCCAGGCTCCATGACAGTCTCGCCACAGAAAGAAAAATAAAATAGGCAGTTCTAAAAGCAGCCATCTTTCTGCTGGATCATGCTGAATTATGGGGTGAGAGGGGAAGAAACAGAAAACTTAAAATGGATAAAGTAGAAAATGTTAAAAATACCCATCTTGTCCTGAGATTTTAGTTCATTATGAATAAATAGGGTTTTCTAGCTGAGATATGAGAAATTTTAGCTCTGATAGCTAGCTGTAGCCTCCCAGGTCTGCTGATTGCATTGTTTTTATTTGCTTTTTTAGAAAGCATTTTTGCTAAAAGCCATGCAGACTTCTTCATAACTAGCAGTACTTAGAGTATAGCTTTGTGCCATGCGACATTTGAAGATTCTGTTTTTAAAATTATTAACCTGTTTCTTAATTGTGTTAATTCCTTTTTCAGTAGCTGTTCCCCTTAATTCAGATGCAGCTTCTTGTGTATGCCATTGTTCCTTCACACACCAGTTTTGTGGGTGTGTATATACCTAATTTGGAATGAATTGGGGGGAAACCCAGCTTTTTAATTTGTTTTAAACAAACCTGCCTGTTACATTTTGTTCTCTTAACCAATTAAAGAAGCCAGTGGCAATTTTAGTTTTATACTGTCTGTGTTTCCACTTGTATATCCCTGTTGATTTGTTTGTGTCCTTTATTAACTGCCATTTTATAAAATTTTTTTCAATAAAAGAAAAGAGGATGTGAACAAATGGAGTCTTAGTCTTGATGGGAGAATGGAACGGCAAGTTTTAATTCTTAATACTAAAAGTTCCTTCTGTTTCTAGGCTCTTTTGCTGCTGAGAGGCCCCCGAGAACCTGTTGGTGAGGAACTGCTAGCTTCCAGTGATAACGTTAGTGACACTCAGCACTTACTTTGTGCCAAGTAGTGTCCCAAGTACTTCATGTGTATTAATTCACTAATATGATCCTAAGAAGTGGTATTAGCCCCATTTTATAGATGAGGGAACTGAGGAACACACTTTGAGTAATTTGTCACTCAACTAAACCTGGATAGTCTGGCTCCACAGTTGTGGGCATCATTGTTTCCAGTATTTCCCCTCTGGGGTCAGAAAAGAATTGGGCACTTGTCCAGATACTGTGACCTATAAGTATATTGTCCCTTTAATCTTTACAAATGTACAGGTCCAGCCAAGTATAATACCTAAAATCATTCAGCTTGTAAGAAATCATGCTTACTTCATTTTCTTCTTTGACTAAGGAATGTTATCCATCTAGTGCCACACAGTGGGAGATTGTGGTACATCACTGGAAAAGCTGAAGCTTTGGATTCTATACTCTTTATTCCTATAAACCTTGTCTGCGTCATGTCATTCCCTGAGTTTGTAGTTGACAGTGTAATCTCATAATCATTTTTACAAAAGAGAAGGGACTATCAGACATGGGTTCCAAAGCTAATGTAGATTTAGACAATGAATGACCCACTCTATAGTAACTCTTTGGAGTACCTTCACTTTCCTTTTTTTCACATATACAAAAATCATGTTCACATATTTTTGAATAACATTGAAATATGTTCTATAGTTTTGTGGGGTTTCTTTTGCTTATACTTAGGTAGTTTTCCCTGTTGATACATGTAGGTCAAACTTGTTTTTTTGATAGGTGCTTAATATTCCACAGTATTGTTTTTGATGTAACTATTTCCCTATTGACATAAATGTTACCGGTTTTTCATTATTCCAGGAGAGGAGACGGTTTGAGGGAGATGGGGGGAAATAGTTCTTCAAATGGGACATAAGAGACCTGGGTTGTTTCCAGGTTTATTCTTAATTTGTGACCTTAGACAAATCCCATATCTTCTGTAGGACTAAATGTCTGAATATGTCACAGAGGTTTTAGATAATGTGTCCTTTTGAGATTATAAAGGTCCCTTAACCCCACATGCAAATGCATTCTTGGAAAACATTCCTTTTAATGATGAAAGCCGAGTGTTGTAATCCCTTGCATCTGCCTATAATCCCAGTGTGAGATTTCTTAGGCCTCATGGTGCTCTGAAGGTTTTCCATGTCTCCAGAAACAGGTTAAGAAAGAATAGATTTGCAATAGCAGTGGATTAGCAAGCCAGTCCTGGGTTGTACTTAATCTCTCCCCACTTCACTCCTTCTTGCACATGTGGTATCTTAGGATAGTTTCCTATCACTTGAACAGGCTTAAGCCTCAGCATGAGTGCAGTTGGTGAGGCTGCAGAGTGCCCCTGTTCTGCTTTCAACACCTGTTGAAACCAGGTGGGCACAACCAGGTGGGCCAACCAGGTGGGCACAAGGCCTTTAGGAATGCTGCTGGGCTGCTCTTACCCTCCCCCCAGGAAGCCCTGACATCCATCATGTGAACCTCCTAGCTCTCCTCACATCTGCCAAGAATGGACATAGGTCTTCCAAAATAAGACCACTGATGAGAGTAGGGAAAGATAGCTAATGTTTTCATTATTGGTATATTTCAACTGCTAATGTGGATTTGATGTCTGATGCTGCTATATATTTCCAGAAACAATCTTTGCTTCAAAACATTAGGAAATGAAAGAAAATACTAAGTTTCTTTGAATACACACAAGTTGGTTCCAAGTTACTGGGCCCAACTTACTCCTGAGTCCAAGTTAACCCTCAGTTTTAGAGCTCTTTTCACCAACTCTCCATACCTTACATCCATTCCTGGCTTGCCTCCCCCCCCTTCCCCCCATCCCTGCTTCAAGCCTTGTGTCCCTGATGCAAATCTCTGGGAAAACTGCAAGTATTGCACTGACATATTTTTGTAGACTGCATGCTTTCCTATGTCCTTAAATAGAATATTCTTTTTTTTTTTTTTTTTAAAGATTTATTCATGCATACAAGAACCAGGGTACAGGCCAGATGTGCAGGAGGGTAAGCAGATTCACCAGAGACAGAGCGGGGAACAGAACAGGCAGACTGACTGAAACACACTGCTGAGGGGAGCAGCAGGCGAGACAGGAGAGGTCTGCTGCGCCATGTGGGAATCTTCCTGCCGGCTGGGATCGAACCCACGCTGCAGAGGCTGCGGACAGCTTCACAGCGTTGTGCTCAACCTGCTGTGCCACCGGGGAGGTCCTTAAATAGAATATTTTTAAAAACCCAACCTGAAAGCATATGGGCTCAGATGACTGATTTCATCCACTATCTCTTATAAGAATCATCAACAAAGATTCTTAACCTTTTGTGTACCATGGTTCTTTTTGACAATCTGGTGTGATACCCTTAGAATATTATGTTCTCAGTACATATTGCTTGTGGAGAAGAGGAATTGGAAAGGGAGTTGGAGGCTCTGAGTAATGGGAAGTAGGTTCAAATACTTGCCCACGCTTCCCTGGGCAGGAGGACTTCCCTGACCTGACAGGCAGCCTCGGGTCCGCCCCATTGTAACCACTGGCCTAATAGTCATCTGGGGTGGGCAGCATTGTTGCACCTTTCAGATGGCAGTTACAGAGATACATGGCTGCGTGAGCATAAAAGAAGGGAAATTCCTTACTACTTTGGGCAGAAACCTAGGGAATTATTAAAACTTTGACTGGATTAGTTGAGAGATGAGGGACTTAGTTTGTGTGATGCGTGTTCAGGAAGAATGGCAACTTCTGCAGGATTGTCATGCCAACCGCAGATCCAGTCAGAGACAACAGTAGAGGTCTCTGAATTTTTTGCAGTGCGTTTTGGCTGCTGTCAGGGAATTTTTCCCTTGGGAGAGATTTCCCTGTGAAAAAGTCATATTCAGACTTACAGTGCTGGGCATTTGGTTTATAAACCTGTCAAAAGTGATCCACTGCAGAATGACAGATTGCTGGGAGAGGCAATCTGCCATGAGCCCTGAGCATCCCTGCATGTTCTTGCTTTGTATAAACACAAAAGCCTGACCACTCTTCAGGGCCCTGTCTCAGTGATCTGTTGACTGACCTTGCAAGAAGAGGTAATGTCGCTTCTCTAGGAATAGATTTGCCTGCTGTTCACTATGAAAGTGTTGAATTCCTTCCCCCCACCCCCTCCCCCCACCCCCCTCCACCAAGTTCAGAGTTCTTTTTCTTAGATACAACCCACTACATGTGTAGGTATCTATCTAGGGCTTTTGTTGTTACTTTTCCGTGGGGTGGGGGGAACTGGCACAAACATGCTCCTGTTGCTTGTTCTGTGAGTAATAAAGCTCTTCAATACAGGAGTCTTGTGTCTTTCAGCAATATCTATGAGAGAATAGTAGGCTAAATTATTTGCAGGCAGGATGAAGTTCTAGGCCCTTCGTAAACTACTTTGACAATTTGGTGACAAGGATGGGATTCTGACAGATGTGCCTTTCTAAAAGAGAAGGATGTGGGCCAGGTAAAGGGTTAGGAGTAGATCCCCTGGGGTCTGGTTGCAGTTGCTGCTGAGTGAGAGTGGGGACCACAGTTCCTCCTCTTACCTGTTAATATGTCAAGACAAGGAGCAGAAGGTAGGACTGAAACACAGCCAATATGGCACCTACATAGTTGCTCACTCTCCTTTGTCAGGAGGAGAGAGGATGTTTTGATGTTTTGTGGCCCCAGCTAAAGGAAACATGACTGGTGAATAAAGGGCTCCCCAAAGGTGAAATAAATGTCAGCAATATGGATATAGAGATTTAATGACTCCAAGACAGTAGGAATAAGTTGAGTCCAGGCAGATAGTCACTTACAACAAAAGTAAACATATGACCTTGCTTACTAGACCAAAACACACGCACACATACACACACACACCTCTCACTCTGACTCCTCTAATCCTTCTGTCTCTGAGGAAAATATTTTTGTGTACTGGGGAATCTTTGAGGACGGGAGAGATGCCCCTTTTACAGCTCTATTGTATGTAAGGATCTAAGTCACCATCTTATTTGGTCCAGTGGGGACGGGGAGCCCTGGGTGCTGGGATAATTAAGTCCTGAGGGGCAGATCTATGGTGGTATGCAGGAAGTGAAGAAAACCCAATCAAAACGGCAGTCTCAGCACTAGGTGCTTGTCGAAGCCAGGTGGTACACAAAGGCAGAGTCAGACCTCACCCTGGAGCAGGAGTCGAGAGAAGCCTTCCCACTGACCCAGCTGACCCCCACCGGCTAGCCTCTCCCACCCTCTGAAGTCCCCTTTCATTACTTAGAGAACCCTTATAGGACTGATTGGATTATTACTTTTTAAGGTTTTCACATCAATGTTATTGATCCAAATTATTTGTTAGTGGAACTGAGCATGCTTCTCCCATTTAGGGACTACTGCATATTCAGAAGTAATCCCTGTCTGCTCTGCTCTCAGGTAGTCTAACAAAAATAATAGACTCCTAAGAGGAGAGAAATAAAATTCACAGCTTTTCAGTTTTCAGTTGAAAACTTGGTGCCTGCTGGCATACTCAGGCCATTTCCCAGTGCCACATGCCCTGTGCAGGCACCAAGCACCCTTTCAAAAATATAGGGCCTCCCCAGTGGCGCAAGGGGTTAAGCGTGGCACTGTGACGCTATCTGCAGCCTCTGCAGCATGAATTCGATCCCCGGCCAGCCAGGGATGCAATAGACCGCTCCTGTCTCACCCACTGCTCCCTTCAGCAGTGTATTTCAGTCAGTCTGCCTGTTCTGCTCCCCACTCTGTCTCTGGTGAATCCTTTCACGTCCCGCACCTCTGGCCTGTACTCCAGTTCTTGTGTGCATAAATAAATCTTAAAAAAATATATAGACAGCTACTTGGTT